GTGCCTGATCCATCTGGGCCTTATGTGGTTCGCCATTCTAAGTCCCGGGGCTTGGGTTACCGGTTCGCATCACTAAACAGCAAGTCTTCATGACTACGGGGTCCATTCCGTCAGCTGTTTATCATACAAATGTGTGTAATGAAACGGTTAAAGGCGGTCCACAGAAACTTACTGCAACATCATATTTTGGACAGCTACACATAGTTCACCGAATCGGTCACTTTCGAAGCAACATACTGGCTTCTGTGGTCGGGTACAATAGCTTGCGAACCCCATTTTCTATTGAGCTTCTCCTTGAGGGTTCGAGCGTTAAATTTTGCACTGTTTGATTTAGTGAAATACTTTTTGTCAAGGTGAATAGGAATTAATATCATCTAGGGTAAACACTTGTTAAAAAATTGGCCACAACATACGTTACCATGGCTCAGGAGATATTGGTCACTGAGACCAATTCAAAGGCTTTGCATAAGCACCTTGTATATAATGAGTACAGACATTTTGAGATAAGCTGTGATTCAGTTCAGGTTGCCAAGATGTAAGACGAGCGAGAATTGATCTTTTCAATTCAATGATGAGTGGAAAACATTCAGAAATGCCGTGTGTAGTGTCGTAGGCGAGATCACACGATCTTCATAGCATAGAATGTCGTGTGTGCAGTACCGTCAATNGTCAATGCTCCTTCAGCTACGAAGGTTTGCTGGCTGCTCACTCGATGTTCTTGCGTGTAATAGTTTAGCAGGCACTCCGTTTTTTGTTTGAACTAGTGTGTCTGCCACTGCTACCACCACCCGTTGTTCTACACCGTTTCCCATCAAGCTGTAGCCAGAACCCGCAGTTTAGCCTCAACCCACAATCCTTTAGCCTTGACCGACAGTGTTTCCGTGTAAAATGCGATACTCCTGTGAACGAAACTGTCAAGTGTAACACAAATGATCCATTGTTTTGCACTGACAGGTGAACTCTGTTCATGAGAAGTGGATAAAGAAACATGCCGAGGAAAATGAACACCGTTCGCAACTTACCCCCTCCTAACTATCATCATTTTATTAACGCTGCAACGTTTGACATAATTACCATGGTCGAGGCCCGAGAATTACTGGTTTTGTCTATAGCTCGTTGGGGAGCAGTATCCTCAAGGGATTCTTTGGTGAACTGTTTAGTATCCTCGTCCCGGTAATGCATCCACATCTGAAGGGCGCAGTTCACTTTGAGTAAAAATACGGAACGATAAGTATTTACTTTTTGTGGTTTCTCTTTTTGATTTATTTTAGGGCTTGTGAATGCAAAACCATTTGTGTTACACTTGAGAGTTTCACTCATGGGAGTATAACATTTTACACGGAAACTCGGAAGCTGTACGCAATGTGCCGAATGGTTTGACGATACAGACACAACGGTTAAACTTTCTCCAATCAACATGTGGTGCAGTGTGCGACCCCCACACCTCATTTCTTAACCAACATTTGTAGAAAATAATAATTTTTCAACATCGATTGACTTCGGAATATTCCGGGACTTCGATTTGACTCGCCTACTGCCGCGTGACTAGAGTTTGTGCGTCGAGGCTAAAGGACTACGGGTCCTGGCTAAAGCATTGCGGGTTTTGGCTAGGGGACTATGGGTCAAGGTTAGAGGATTGTGGGTTTTGGTGAGAGAATTTCGGGTTTTGGATAAAGGACTATCGGCCGAGGCTAAAGGACTTCAGGTTTTGACTAAAGCTTGATAAGAAAAGGTGTAGTTCGAGGTTATATGAATTCGAGGGATAGGCTGGACCTAGTGGTGTGTTGGGTTGCTCCGTCACTACAGCCTTTGTCGAATACCAAGGCTAACTCGGGTGGAATGAACTTGCTCTGTGTCACATGCTCTAAGATGTACTGTATGCTTCCCTCACTAGGGTTTGCTAAGGATAGCAATAGCTGTATTTGACGTGTATGCAAAATCCCTTGCATTTTCCCACAACTCTCCTTGAAATAAATTAATTTCCATTAACTATGGTTAGAGTGGTTCTCACACACGCATGCGTGCACAATAGTCTAGTTTTTTATTCGATGCCCGACCACTTTTCAATTCGATAGCTGTTTATAATATGGAACCAGCACAGCTGCTGTCTCATTTAGTATTCTGAGACGAATTTCATCTGAAACCATTGAGATAAAACAGTTCAGTGACTGGAGGAGTTTGAGTACTTTTTCAGTAGAGATGGTGAAGTGGTCTAAGGTGTGTGTGTCTGACCTAGGCTAAAGAAAAGAAAGCAGAAGAAATGTTGAAAATTTCTCGAACGTGGGCCCGGAGGTATCAGCTACCTGATTCGGTTAGATCACTAGGGAGTCGTCGGGAATTTTCAACACCAACACAGAGGAACTTGGATGTCTTCACCGACGAGGAAGTTTGAAGAGAGATTAAGGGTTTATAGTAATTGTAATAATAATAGTATATAGTTCACGAAGCTCTTGAAGCGTGCTACGGAGCTTCAGTTCATTACTGTTCAGTTCAGTTCAGTATGCACAGGACGGAAGTGTTCGAGGCAGATAGTCGTGTTGTCAGCGATATGCCTTAGCTTCGTTAATTATTTCTGCATTTTTTT